AAATTTGAATTAAGTATCTACCCTTTGTTCTATAATACTTGTCCACATTTGAATTTTTTCCACGTTTCCTTAATAAAATCATTAAATTTGTCTAAGTTACAATAAATTATTGAGTAAAATTGACCTGTAATTATCTTTTAATTTAATATTAATTTCTAAAAAAATATTATTAATGGAAGTAATATTAATTGGTCATATACAAAAGGTAAATGAAAAAAAAAATATTTATTAGATCTTGAAAATCACAAATGTGATAAGTATTTATTATGGAATGGAGGTAGTATATGAATTAATAATTTTTTGCACAATTTAAGTTGCATTTGTTGGAATCTTAATTGGAAAATCAAAAATGAACTATTACCCTTCAATTTTGCTTTAATTTATTTTTTTTAGATTAAATCAATTATTCCTGTCTTATAACTCTCTCTCTCTTATATTATTTTGAATTTGAAAGAAAACTGGAAGAAATTTTTTTGACTTTTTTAGAAAGAGATAGTAAAAAAAAAAGAAAAAAAAAAAAAAGATGGATTGAATGTTTTATGATTGAATACATTTATTAAGTAATAAGATGGTTTTAATTTTAAATTTTCCCATAAACTATCCCACTCAAATGCAACTTGAATTGCTACTTTGAAGTAATTCAGACATTCAATTAGAAAATTTTTTTCGTTCAGACTTCAAAATAAAAAAACATTAAAAGTTTAAGGACGGCAAAGGATAATTACCCTTCACAATATTCCTCTCCATAACTAATACTAATTATGTGATTGTTAGAACCAACTTATTGGGTTGTGGCAGTACTTTGCGCCCTAATGGTTTATCAGTATAATACAACAATATTGTTGTATTGTATCATGGATTCTGGTCCACTTATTAAATTTTTGATGTTGCAGGTCGTTTTAAAAATGCCAAAGTTGCGATGTATACAGCTTTGGAGTTGTTACCTTCTAATTTTAATCCCGGCAACGAGGCCATAGACAGTAAATGTGTCACCTTGAGCACGAAGAACATAGTGAGTGGGCAAAGCCCTTACTGACAAAACAGAACGCACAGTTTTCCGAGTTTTAGGACACGGGACACGTCTTGGCGGCCCAACACTTTCTTAAAAGGGCTCGAAAGTTTGGCTAACCTTGCACTTTCAATTGCTTAAATGATGAACCGAAGTTGAAAGACCAGACATGGAAGAATGTGGTTTATGGCATTAGAGTCGCTTTCAAGAATCAATTAAAGCATGTGTTAATCGAAGCAATGTACAGTTTTCTGCATTTGCCCATTTTGCTTGTAGTATTTATCACTTCTGTTAATATGTATTAATAATGATGTTCTATGGCAATATATTTTCCTTTCAGTTGAGGCAGTAAAATTTTCCTTACAGTATTCTGTTTATACAATTACATTTGAGTTAACAGTATGTATTTAATACCATCATAGAACAAATTTTGAAAAATTTGGTTTTCCGCATTTTTCATTTATTTCCTAACAACTTCTTGCAACTTAGATAAAAAATCAACCAATATGAGTTTGAATTAAGAATACAACTTCTTGTCCAAATATATTTTCCAAAGAAAAAAAAAAAAGTATTTTATTTTTCGAAGAAGAAACGGTGGAATTAAAATTTTTGTTTTTGTTTTTTGTTTTTCTGCCTTTTTGTACAGCAGATGGTAATGGTTAATTAGTAGGATTTGTTGAAAGTGAAAAAATGTTTCTAAGACAAAGGTGTATGACATGGATATATGCCTTTTCTTACTTCACCAAATTTTTGGCTTCTGTCATCCAAATTGTTCATGGATATTTGGAACCAATCTGCTTCATGATACTCAAAATACTTCAAAATCTATCTAACAATTTTTTATAACAGTTGAATCAATCAAAATTTTTCTGCCATGAAACAATAAAATTACAAAACAAATATCCGAATGAGATAGTTTTCGTGACAAAGAACCCTTGCAGGATTGATCATCATCGGCTTTAAAAATCATGGATTCGATCGCAAACTCTCTTAGAACAGCCTCTCTGCGTCCGAGTGCGATTGGGGATTAAATCATGTTTGTGAACCGTTTAAAAACGGACACAGGACTGCAGATCTCGTATAAATATCCAAAGAGATAAAAACCCAAAATTACAAAACAAGAACAAAAATAAAATAAATTTACGAAGGAAAGAAATCCGAATAACAAATTACTAAACAAAATGAAAACACAAACCTTTAAAGAATATGATTAGGCAAAAGAAACAATCCTCAAATCATATATCAGCATATGAAGATTTAAAATTTTTAACAATAGCTTTACACAATAGAAATTATAAAACCTATTTAGTCCCAAGTAAATGTGCATTTTGGCAATAAGTAGCGGGAATCAATAGATTGTAAAATAATCATTATGTTCGTATAAAGCTACATAACATTTTAAAATATGTAAATGGCACCAACAAACAGTCAACCACAGTAAAAATATTAACATTAGAAACAAATAAATCTAAAACTTGCTAAAACCAAAACAAAAATGTATTTTAAATATAAAATAAAAGGAATAAATATTATTAAAATGAAAAAAAAAAAATTAGCATCCTCTCCCAAAATCACGCACCGCCAGCAGCACCCATAGCTTCCATCGCTGCACCAAACAAAATTCGCCTTTCACGCTCCTCTGCTTCTTCGTCTCTATATATTTCCAATGAATTTCTGGGCCTCCCAAGGAAGTGTTGGTTTCCCAAGAATCGAACACCATGGCTCGTCGATACTCAATCCCGTGGTTTTCATAGCAGGGAAGTCCTAATAGTTTGTAAACCAAGGACTTAAAAATAATGTTCCAAAATAATAAAATGAAAGTTAAAAGACGATTCCCATAAAAGTTCACATCACCATTTGGCTTCCATTTGAAATATTTTAAAAATTTTTTTTGTCCTCATCATCTGGCCACGTGGGTGGCAAAAAGTGAGCCGTACTATTGTATATTCAATTTTTAATTGTAGATTTTAAAACTGTGCAACGCCTCGATTGGCAAGCAGTTTTTCGTTTATAAACACCCAAAAATATAATTTTATCCATATTTAAATACAAATATACCAGTTAAAACCAAGTAAACTTTACTTCATTTTTCTTGAAGGTTTGATACAAGAACCTGAAACTGAAAGTATTGCAACCGAATCTTTCGTGGTGTTTAATTGGGCACTAATCACATCAATGAAAAACCGCAAGTCCGCCTTCCAGTGAGTTGCTCAAAAATAGTTTTTTTTAAACCCTTTCTTTTTTCTTGTCATCAATATTTGCTGCAAATCTTAAAGAAAGAAAAAGGGTTTCTTGGAAACAAAGACGCTCCTTTTCTTTGTTCGATTTTTTTTTTTTTTTTTTTGGGTTTTTAGAATTTCTATGGAGAGGAGTTGAGGTGTCTGATTGGAAATGGGACTTGGTGGTAGCAAACGGAATCAAGGGTTATACTCGTAGCACAGGTACCCATTTATTCTTTTATGTTGTAGTGTTTTAAGTTTTTATTGTGTTTTTCACAATTAGCTGTTACTGTTTTTTCCTTGATTGAAGATTGAAATCAAGTCGCCTTCTTCTAATTTTTACCCTAAAGATGCCTTGAGCGTTCCTTTTGTTCTTTCACTCGGTATTAGTCACTCTATATGTTGCTGTTGCTATGGCCTTTCACGAAATACACTTAATGTTTCTTGACAAGAAATTTAAATTTTTAGAATGTTGTTGTTAACTTTTTGTAAATGTCAAGATAAATTTCCCTAAGGTAATGTATTTCTATAGTTTGATTATTTGATTAATTTCCTTGGATTTTCAATCAAATTTGGTGAAATATTTGTCAATTTTTTTGTGATGGATTTAAGAGTAATTGGTGTCTGAGGAAAAGTGTGTTTATGTAATTTTAAATTAGGAAGAATATTCTTTGAGATTATGTATCATATTGATATTCTTCTCTTCAGGACCTATTTGAAACAAAAATTGATTATTCTAGTATGAGAGTAGTTAACTAGGCAATGAGAAGGATAATATTTTTAGAGTTTTCCCCTTTTAGACAATTTTTATTTCATAATTATTGTCTTGTAGAATTGAATTCAAAGAAATGGTCAGAAGAGATGGGAAGAATCTTGGTTTTGAGTTAGAATATTGCAGTCACCAATTTAAAGAACTTTTAGCTTCAGTGAACGAAGATTGCCACTAGAAACTTCCCGATCAGATGGTGTACTGGGTGAAGATGGTTTTGGGCCCAGTTTTCAAAGGGCGGATTTGATGCAAATGGTGAATTGTGTGAAGAGGCTTTACCCATGAAGGCTTCCTTGGTCAGGCCGGAATGGTTTGTCAGTTTTTGGTTTCAATTTCTAATTGTTTTTTCCAGCTATTCATGATAAATTTTTTTCTTCTTCATTTTCAGGGGCCTGATTTATTCGGTTGAGGTCCTTAAAATTATAGGGAGTTTCATACTTCTCTCTTCAATTAGGGAGAACTTGGCAATACAAGATGTATTTGAAAATGTGAATCCATTCTTCTCATGTACCTTACAGTGCCCTTGCTTATCTTAACAACCGATAGGAGTTGCTTCAATCATAGAAAATAGCCATTGCCCATTAGGAATTTTAGGATATCCTAAAAAAGTTCATAATATTTAGTATCAGTAAAAATATGATTATATTTTTAGAACTCCTTTCATGCCCAGTGGTGTTTAATTTTAAAAGATTGGAGATGAGCCTAAAATAGTTGATTGTAGTAGTTCTTTGACATGAAAGGCAGAGATCAACTATCTTGGAAAATTGCAGCATCCTACTGTGTTAGTTGATTGGTTACTGTTTGAGGATGAACCAATCGGCTTTTGGTTTGTGAGTTTATGTCTGTGGCACCATGGAAAGCATTTATTCAGGAGTGAGTTTCCAATGTTATCATTTATTGTATTAACTTGACTACTGCTTCTTAATTTATGAATAACATGCGCAAACGTTAAGGAATCTTGATATAAGGGGGTCTGAACGCTATTTCTTGGGACATTTTCGCAATGAAAAATTGCTCTTGGTGCTGCAAAGGGGCTTTGCATTTCTTCGATAGTGCTGATGTGAGATGTCATCATCGGGACTTTAGTAAGACTTCTCATAATACTGCCTTATTCAGTAAATGTAATTTACCTACATTAACCTGACAACTTTTTTCACCAATATAATTTGAATTTAAGGAAAACAATTAGTTGAGTGTATCTGCATTTGTTGACCTGCCCCTGCTAACATTTGCTCCATATTTTGGTGGTTTTTCAGAACTACACGCAAAGCTTTTCTGGTTTTTTGCTTTAGCTAGGGATGGGCCAACTGATGATAAGAGTTACGTCAGTACTAGGGTCATGGGAACTCAAGATTTGCTGCACCAAGAGTATCTGGCCACAGGTATCATTTTCAATATGTGGCTTCTCGTAACTCTGATGATATTAGCTTGATTAGTAATGCTTCTATTTTTCTTATTTTTTACCATTTTCTCTAATGGCCCATCTCCAAAAGTTATGTTTGAGCAATTTATTCTTCACTCATTTGAAGCATTAGAAGTGTTAAAACATATCCCTAATCTTAACGAAATATCAATTTCAGACTGTGCAAGGTAAAGGGGTGTTAGAAGAACGAGCATGGAATGAAAGCTAACATTGAATGGAGAGATGATATTGCGAGTAAAAACTGCATATCATTTGATTCTTTTGAAAAGGCATTACCATTGAACATTTGCAAAGTGATCCTTTTTTTTTTTTTTTTTTTTTTTTTTGTTTAATTGAGGTTTAATGAAGGGTCAAAATTTTCTAAAATTTGCAGGTTATAGTGGTAGAGGACATAGTCGGCCTGTATCAAAACTCTCAACCGTATTAGCCAAAAATTTGCCACCATTCTCACGTTAGTTTGTGAGGATAACTGGAGAACAATCAAATCTAACTGATTCAAGAAACTTTATTTTTAATAATTATGTGTCACTGCAAACCTCAAAAGTCTCATAGCAAATAGTTCAAATAGGGTTAATAATATATGGTAGTTAATTAAATTTTTTTTTTTATTTGATTGGCTAAATAGGAAAATTTGAATTAAAGTAACTTCTTTAATTCCATAATACTTGTTACAAATTTTGAGTTTACATCCCTTGAGAAAATTAATTAAATTTGTCGAAATTATAATAAATTATTAACGTAAATTGACTGAAATTATTCTTAATTTAATACTAATTCCCTCTAAAAAAATTTTAAATTGAAGTAATAATTTAATTTGGTCATAGTACAAAGGTACACAATGGAAAAAAAGTATTATAACACCTTTGAAATCACAAATGTGACAAAATATTTTTGAACAAATTATTTTTTAAAAATGGTGAACAAATACTATAGAATGGAGAATAGTATATGATTTAAATAATTTTGCATACCAATTAAGTGGCGTTTAGTTGGAAATCTTACTGGAAAATCAAATGAACTATTACCCCCAATCATTTTGCTTTGTTATTTTTTTTAGATTATCGTATTCCTTTTTCCTTGTTATTCTCTCTCCTTATTATTATTTTGAAATTGAAAGAAACTGAAATAAATTTTTTTGGACTTGTTTTTAAAAGAAGATATAAAACCAGTGAAAAAGGAAAGGGGGGGGGGGGGGGGATGGAAAGATGGATTGATTGTTTATGAATTGATATCATTTATTAATAAATAAGATGGTTTTTATTTTAAATTCTTCCGATAAACTAATTTGGACCAATGCACCTTGATTGCTAACTTTTGAATATTTAGACATTCAATTAGAAATTTTTTTTCATTCAGACATCAAATAAAAACATTAAAGTTTAAGCCACTGCCAAATGTAATTAACCCTTCCACAATATTCTCTCCATACTAATACTTAATTATGTTCGGTTGTTAAGACAACTTATTGGGTTGTGGCTGGTACTTTTGCCTTATGGTTTATGCAGTATAATACAACAATAGTTGTTGTAATTGTATACGGATCCTGGTCACTTTATTAAATTTTTTGATACTGAACAGCAGGCCGTTTAATTGCAAGTGCGGATTGTAATCAGTTTTGGAGTTGTACTTCTAGAAATTTTATCCGGCAACGAGCCTATAGAGAAGGACTGCGCCACCTGAGCAAGCGAACAACCCTGGTGGAGTGGGCAAAGCCCTTACCTGACAAACAGACGCAGAGTTCTTCGAGTTTTAGACACACGTATTTGGCGGCCAACACTTTTCTTAAAAGGGCTCGAAAGTTGGCTAACCTTGCACTTCATTGCTTAAAATGACGATCCGAGGTTCTGAGACCAAGACATGGATGAGGTGGTATGGCAAATTAGAAGTCGCCTTAAGGAATCAAATTAAAAGCATGTGTTTATTGGGAGCCTAATGTACAGTTTCTGCTTTGCATTTTTGCCTGAGTATTTATCACTTTGTTTATTATTGGTTAATATGACGATGTTCTAGCCTTTCAGTTGAGGCAGTTTGTTCATACACTTTTACAATTTGGAAGGTTAATAGTATGTATTTAAACACATCATAAACTAAATTTTGAAAAAAATTGGGTTTTCGGCAATTTTTTCCGTTTATTTCCCTACAACTTCTTGCACTTAGATAAAAATAAACCAATATGAAGTTTGAATTCAGATACCTCCTTTCCATTCTCAATATAATTTTAAGAAAAAGTATTTTATTTTTTTCCAAAAAGAAATAGTGAATTAAAGTTTTGTTTTTGTTTTTGTTTCTACTTTTTGTAGAGCAGAATGGTAATGTAATTTTAGTTAATTTAGTAAGGATTGTTGAAAGTGAAAATGTTTCAAGACAAAGGTTGTATGACATGGATATATGCTTTTCTTACTTCAATTTTGGCTTCTGTCATCAAATGTTGATGGATATTTGAATAAACTCAAATGCTCAAAATCTATCTACAATTTTTATAACAGTTGAATGCATCAAAATTTTCCGCCATAAAACATAAAATTACAAAACAAACCGGAATAGGGTAGTTAAGTGACAAAGAAATTTTGCGGGATTGATTACAATGACTTAGAATATGGATTCAATCTTCGCAATGCAAACTCCCTCAGACCAGCCCCTTTGCCTCTAAGAGCAATTGGGGATTAATCATGTTTGTGAATCATTAAAACGAACACGAGACTGCATACCTTGTGCAAGTATAAAAAAAAATAAAAATAAAAAAAATAAAATTACAAAACAAGTGCAGAAAATAAAAATAAACTAATAAGAAACTGAATAACAACACTACTAAACAAAATGAAACACAACTTTTAAAGAATATGATTAGGCAAAAGGAACAAATCTCAAAATCATGTAACATATGAAGATTTAAAATTTTTAACAATAGCTTACACCAATAGAATTATAAAAACCATTTAGTCCAAGAGTCCAAAAGTAAATGTTGCATTTTAGCATAAGAGTTGGGAATCAATTAGATTGTAAATAATTCAATTATGTTCATATAAGCTATTTAAACAATTTTATTAAAATATCTAAATGCAAAAGTTTATTAAAGCTCATGCAAAAATTTTTATTGAATTTTTATTTTATAATTTAATTATAATAATCAAAGTTATTGAAAAAAGAAAGATTAAGATAAACAGTTGACTGAATAATAACTAACTAAACAAACCTAAAAAAAATAGTGCAATAAAACTCAATGGTGGAAATCAAACGCTAATTAAACGTCATTAATCCTAATTCCATTTATAGAGAAAAGCTTATTAAAATAATCCCATTTATATGATTAGATTAAAATTATTAGATAAAACTTGACAATTTTATTTGATTTCTTTCCCTTAAAAGTAAAGTTGAAATAAAAATTATTTTCTTTAGTTGATTAAAAAATTCGAAAATCTTAAAAGAAAGATTATCTAATTGAATGACAACCAAATAAAAAGTTTATTTTAATTAATATTTTAAAATAGAGGTCTTAATTTGTAAATTTCACCAAACTATAAAAATTAAAAGAATTTACCCTTTACAGCTTTATGAAATCTTTAATTGATTAAATTCCATACGAGAAACTTAAATTATAAATACTAGTCGTCTTCCCTCGTTTGGCGTGAAGATGTTACGTGATATTTAAAAATAAAAATACTATTTTTATTATAACAAATAATTGCTTTTAATAATTTAAATATCAAACATATTATATTTACTAATTTCCAAAGAAATAAAATAAAAAATAATATTTTTTCGTAGATTCTTGCAAAAGGATCAATATATTAACATATACATACATAAATCAAGTTTATCTTGATTTTTTATTTTCTTAGAAATATTAGTAGTTTTAAAATAATTTTTATAAATGTCAATTATATTGAATTCATTTTGAATATAAATAATTTTAAAATATTGCATTAATCCAATTAAATATTAAAAACATTAAAATTAAAAATTTCATTAAAAGTTTGTCCTAATTTGAAAATAAGAATGACTGTCATCTCCTCCTTGAAAAAAAAAAAAAAAAAAAAAACATATATATCAGTTTAATCATACATTAGTTGATCATCGAGAAGTGAATATACTTTGTAATTTCATCGTCATTACCACATAGATCAAGCTCAAATTTATTAAATGCCATGAAAATAGTCTTGTATTGTTTACAAGTAATCCATTTCTTTTTGTTGAAAGTATGATGTATTTTTTTATAGTTTCATTTATATTAAAATAGATATTTATACAAATTCTGTAAAAATAGGAAAGTAAAAAAAAAAAAAATGAAAGTAAAAATAGGAAAGTAAAAAAAAAAAAAATGAAAATGAAAGAGAAAATATTAATGAAATTGTTAATTATTTATTATAAGAAAGTGAAAAGTTTTTAAAATATTAATGATATTAATTAATGCTCTATTAACAATATTAAAAAATAATTTTTTAGAATATAAAAATATATTTTCAACTTAATATATTTATATTGCCGTGTAAGTTCCTTAATGGTCTAAAATGATGCCACGTAAGCTTTTAGGACTTAACTTTTATATATTTATATAGATATAAATAGATAGACATAAAATGTAAGAAAAGTTAAATCTTAATTAAATTTTAAAATTTATTAATTAAAAGTATTCAACATAATAAACAGCATTCAGGAAACTAATCTTAACAACACAATAAAATAAGATTTCCTGAGATTTTATGATCAAACAAATAGGAGTTTGATTCAAACTCTTACCAGAAAATCCAAAAATAGTATTGTCCAAAATTAATCTTTCTTCATATAAATTAGACCATTAGACTTACTAATTATTATTATTATTATTATTATTTCACCTACAAAATCTTTAAAAATGGAACTACTCTTGCTCCTGCTTTTATTCTTCTTCTCCTTCACAATACACATTTCATACTCTTCACCATTATCAAAAATACCAAGACTTAGTGTTAATTCCGGGTTTTGCACCATTAGATTATGAATTGTATCATTGCAACCAAACACTTGATCATTTCAATTATCAACCACAAAGCTATGCAACTTTCCAACAAAGATATGCAATTATTTACAAGCATTAGATGTTAGAAGTTGATTCAAAATAGGATATTTTTGACAGCTCATACTTTGTTAGATAGTTGCCAATAATTTTCCTACTTTGTCTCTTTGTTTGTTGATTCAAGGCACGTTATTGTTAGTGCATTATTTTTCTATTATTTCTGTTATATGTATGGCTATAAATAAGCCAACAATTCTCTTGATTTGATTATCCAATAGGAGTGCTTCTTTCATCTTCTTTCATTATTGTTTCATCTTCTTTCTTAATTGTTTATTCTAAAAGCTTTCTTATTCTATTGTTTAACTTGGATACAGATTGTTGCAGTTATCAAGTTTCTAGTTTTGCCCAACATTGTGGTATCAGAGCCTAGTTTGATTCTTGACTGGGCTAGTGTGAGTAAAAATAGAGAGAGAGAGAGAGAGAGACACGTAAGGGAGTGAAATACAATAGGAAATTAGGTCATGGCTGTGAATGGTATTTCCTCTTCCATGCAGCCACTCATACCCATCTTCAATGGAGAGAAGTATGAGTTTTGGAGCATCAAAATGAAGGCACTCTTTAATTCCCAAGATGTATGGGAATTAGTTGAAAGAGGTTTTGCAGATCCTGACACTGATGAAGCAAGGCTGAAAGAGAACGGCTGAAAGAGAACAAGAAAAAGGATAACACGGCCTTATACAGCATTCAACAAGTTGTTCATGAATCAATATTCTCACGAATTGCAGCGGCAAGCACTTCCAAAGAGGCATGGGAGATACTGCAGAAAGAATGTCAAGGCACAAACAAATCTATCAAGGTCAAACTTCAATCACTACGCCGTGAATTTGAGAATCTGACAATGCAGAATAATGAGACAATACAAGTCTTTTTGTCCAGAGTAGCCACGGTAGTGAATACAAGTCTTTTTGTCCAGAGTAGCCACGGTAGTGAATCATTTGAGGCATATGGTGAAAAATATAATGATCAAGTTGTGGTTGAGAAAGTTCTAAGGAGTTTAACTCCTAGATTTGATCATGTAGCTGTTGCTATAGAAGAATCCAAAGACTTGTCTATTTTATCTTTTGATGACCTAAAAGGGTCATTGAAATCTCATGAAGCCAGAATGAATAGCAAATGGATTGAGAAATAAGAAGAAAAGGCATTTCAGGTCAAAGCTTCCCTATCAACCGGTGACTCAAGAGCCGCTGGTAAGGTAAAGAATTCAACAGAGGAGGTCGCAGCGGTAGAGCCAACAACAGAGGCAGAGGTAGAGGAAGATCCTATGAGCAAGTTGATTATAGGCAGACAAATGATGAACAAAGACATTACAAAAGTAGTGTTCAATGTAACTACTGCAAAAATTATGGCCATGTGAAAGCAGATTGTTGGAAGCTTAAAAAGAAAGAAAAAGCAAGTTATGCAGAAGTTGAAGTAGAAGAGAAGTTGTTCATGGCTCAAGAGCCAGAGCAAGAGGCGGAGGTGAATGTGCCAACAGAAGTTTGGTTCATTGACAGCGGCTGTTCACACCACATGTCGGGAGAAAAATCTGCATTCAAAGAACTTAATAAAAATTTCAAGAAAGAAGTAAAGGTTGGAAATAACACCAAGATCAAAATGGAAGGAATAGGTACTATCGCAGTACGGTCAACAATGGTAATGTGAAATTTCTCGATTATGTTTACTTTGCACCCAGTTTGGCAAATAATTTGTTATGTGTTGGTCAGTTAATGAATGGGGGGTATTCAGTTTTGTTTGATAATAATTGATGTGAGATCAAAGATAAAAAAATCTGGCCAAATTATTGTTAGTGTTCCTATGGTACAAAACAATTTGTTTCCCCTATATGTCTCTGGTGGTGAAAGCTGTGCATTAGTTGCTGGGAATGAACCAAATGACTCTACCTTGTGGCATCTAAGGTATGGTCATCTCAATGTGAAAGGTTTAAAATTGTTGAGTAAGAAGGAAATGGTTTATGGGCTGCCTAGAATTAAGTCAATTGGGCTGTGTGAAGGTTGTATCTATGGGAAGCAAAATAAAAAATTATTTCCTGTTGGGAAGCCTTGGAGGGCATCTGAATGTCTTGAGCTCGTACATGCCGACCTGTGTGGACCCGTAAACAAAATCTATTGTAGGAAGTCAATATGTTTTATTATTTACTGATGATTGTAGTCGTTTCAGCTGGGTATATTTTCAAGTTACCAAGGCAGAAACGTTTCAAAAGTTTCAGAAGTTCAAGACCTTGGTTGAGAAGCAAAGCAGCCAAATCATCAAAACTCTTCGCACAGATCGGGAAGGAGAGTTTTTATCCGGTGATTTCAATTCATTTTGTGTAGATAATGGCATTCATAGGGAATTGATAGCACCATACACATCGGAACAAAACGACATTGCTGAGGGAAAAAATCGCACTACCATTGAAATGGCCAAAAGTTTATTGCAAGCAAAAAATCTTCCGAACAGTTTATGGGTAAAAGCAGTAGCTACATTAGTTTACTTTTTAAATATCTCTCCTACAAAAGCAATTTGGAACAAGACTCCTTTTGAGGTTTGGTCAGGTATGAAGCCTTATGTTAGCCACTTGAAAATTTTTGGTTGTATTGCTTATACCTTAATTAACCAACAAAATCATTAAAAACTAGATGACAAGTTTGAAAATTGTTTTTTTGTTGGTTGTTCATCTCAATCCAAGGCTTATAGGTTTTATAATCCTATTAGTGGCAAAATAATTATTAGCAGGAATGTTGTATTTGATGAACTTGCAAGCTGGAATTGGAATGAAAGTCATGCAACGCCAGCTGCTGAAATTCATGTAGAAGATGAAGATTTGGTTTAGTCAACAGAAAAAGAGGTACCTTTGAATACTCACGCAACATCTAATATTTCGAGTTCCTCCTAACTAGCGACCAGGCCAAGACGATAAATTCAACCATCTTCCCATTTAAGAAATTTGGAGGTGATTCAAGATAATGCCATTAATGATGAAGGAGATATAATTCAATTTACAATGTTCGCAAATGTTGACCCATCATCTTATGAAGAAGCAGCAGACGAAGATGTGTGGTGTAATGCAATGAAAGAAGAGATGTCAGCCATTGAAAGAAATTGTACCTGGGATTTGGTCAATTTACCTACAGAAAAAGAAGCAATCAGACTGAAGTGAATTTTCAAAACAAAGTACCAAGCAGATAGGAGAATTCAAAAGCATAAGGCGCGACTTGTAGCTAAGGGGTATTGCCAACAGCAAGTTATTGATTAAGAAGAAACCTTTTTTCCTGTGGTGCGTTTTGAGACCATAAGAATTGCTTTAGCATTAGCTGCACAATTGAAATGGCATGTTTTTCAATTTGATGTTAAGTTAGCTTTTTTAAAGGGTGACTTGAAAGAAGAAGTTTATGTATCACAACCAGATGGGTTCGTAATCAAAGGCAAGGAGAGTAAGGTATATAAGTTGAAAAAGGCTCTTTATGGGCTAAAACAAGCACCGCGAGCTTAGTACAGTAAGATTGATTCTTATTTTCTGAAGTCTGATTTTGTTAGCAGTGAAAATGAACCAACTCTTTATCTTAAAAAACATGAGAATGATTTGTTGTTAGTATGTCTTTATGTAGACGATATGATTCACATGGGATCATCTTCTTCTCTTGTTTTTGAATTTAAAGAAAATATGATGAAGACTTTTGAGATGACAGATTTGGTGACGCTTCATTACTTTCTTGGCGTGGAGATTATTCAAACAATAGATGGGATTTTTATATCTCAAAAGAAGTAAGCAGCTGACCTTCTTCAAAGATCTTACATGCTAAATTCTAACTCCACAGCAACTCCAATGAATGTTAGTGAAAAGTTACAAGCCAATGACGGTTCAGAACCTGCAGAAAGAAAATTTTATAGAAGCTTGGGGGTGGACTGATTTATTTATGTCACACAAGGCCAAATATAGCCTTTTCTGTTGGTGTTGTTTCTAGGTTCATGCATAGTCCTTCTAAGCAACATCTTGGAGCAGTAAAAAGAATTCTACGGTATGTTGCAAGAACTTTGAATTTTGGGCTTTGGTATACTGCAAGCTAAGATTTCAAGTTAAAAGGCTTTACAGACAGCGATTGGGCAAATTCTCTTGAAGATAGAAGAAGTATTTCTAGTTAGGTATTTGTTCTTGGTTCATGTGCAGTGTCTTGGAGCTCAAAAAAACAACCAACAGCAGCCTTGTCATCAACGGAAGCAGAATACATGGCTGCAACTACCTCAGCTTGTCAAGCAATTTGGCTCCGAAGGTTATTGAAAGATCTTAACCAGGAACAAAAGGAAGCAATTGAGATTTTCTCTGATAACAAGTCCACAATTACAAAAAATCCAGCCTTTCATAGGAGGACTAAACACATAGATACCCGTCATCACTTCATTCGGGAGTTAGTCGAAAGTGAGCAAATTGTCTTGACTTATTGCAGCACCGAAGAACAACTTGCAGATGTTCTGACTAAAGCACTCTCGCTCAAAAAGCATTTGTACTTCTGTTCTTGTTTTGGAGTGTGTGATTTTGAATCAAGGGGGTGGATATTTTTGATAGCTCATGCTTTGTTAGATAGTTGCTAATAATTCTCCTACTTTGTCTCTTTATTTGTTGAGTCAAGACACGTTACTATTAATGCCATATTTTTCTATTGTTTCTGTTACATGTATGGCTATAAATAAGCCAACAATTCTCTTGATTTGATTATCCAATAGGAGTGCTTCTTTCATCTTCTTTCATTATTGTTTAGTCTCTAAATCTTTCTATTCTTATTGTTTAATCTCTTTATTTGGTTTGATGTCAAGACACTGTTACATTTTTTAATTCCTATGTATTTCTTTCCATTGTGTTCTGTTTACATGTATGGCTATTAGGAATAAGCCAAATCAATGTGCTCTTGATTTGATTATCCATTAGGAGTTGGCTTCTTTTCTCTTTCTTATTTATTGTTTTGTTTCTCTATAAATAAGCCAACAATTCTCTTGATTTGATTATCCAATAGGAGTGCTTCTTTCATCTTCTTTCATTATTGTTTAGTCTCTAAATCTTTCTATTCTTATTGTTTAACTTGATACAGAATTGCAATTATCAAGTTTCTAGTTTTGCCCAACATTGGAGAGGTGCCCATGATTCTACTCCGATTTTCGTGTATCTCGGCGAAGAGTCTCTGAAGGACAGTGATATTGACGCAGCCGGTATTCTCAATGATAATGCAGATCGGTTTGGTGCTTTAGTAATAATGTTCATTGAGGATAGTACTTGGCAGTGTGTTCTTGAGGATTTTTCATTATCAAGTCATATTAATTGGTTAGTTCATTTTTCATTATTCTTTTCAAGGCCAAATGGAATTTTAAAAAAAGAATGATGATGTCATTTTGTCTTCCCCACAGTAAAAAAAAATGTAAATAAAAAAGTTTATATCATTTTATATTTTCTTTTATTCTCGAATTAGTGGATTCAATAAGTTGTTAGCTATTTAGTTTTGATAATATAAATAAGTTATATTTGTGGTGAGAATAGCATCGCTTTTATGGAGAATCAGTCCATTCACGTTGAAGGATTCCCATTAAACATATTTAATTATTTTTTACAAAGGCTTCTACAATAATTCAGCAATGTATGTTAGTAATATAGATGATAGCGTTACATTAATTGTCAATACTTTTATACTCTTACATGGATTCAAAATTAATTTATGAATGGACAAAAGAGTCATATGGTAAGTTTTAGATAATATTTTGATATCATCATAACTTTTTACAACTGTATTTTATTTTAATTAAATTGTTTCTAATTAATAAGATAAAACTATTTTTTTATTTTTTTTCTTTCTTTTTTAAGATAATATATTATTAATTTAATATTTGATATTTTGTGCAATTTTTGTATTTTAGGTCATTAAGAAAGTAACGGTGTCATCCATGTATGAAGCTTAAAGATATAATCTAAACAGTTTTAATAATTACTTCATCGAAGTTTTAGCGGTTAGAAAAATACAACAATACAGAGAATTTTGGGTAACTTTCCATGTTATCAAATAATAAATATAATTACTTTCTTTCTTTTTAACTTTTTTTTCATTTCTTCAATGTTGTTTTCAACTTATTTTCTGGTTTTGGCAAAAAAAAAAAAAAAAATGTTCAAAAGAAAAAAAAATCCAAGTCTTATTTCAATATTATTTTTTTAAACTTCAATTTATTAATTTATAAGTAAATAATATAAAAGTATAGTAAATACATCAATAATCAATTTAAGTTATAGATTTATAATGTCAGTGACATAACTTTTTTTTTTTTATTACAAATCACTTTAATATTTACCATTGTTGAATTATACTAAATAGAATTTTGATTGTTCTTCCTAACAATTTTATAATCCATAATAATTTACTAAACATAATAATATAATCAATTACAAAAATTAATAGAATAATATTTAAATATCTATCCGCAGACGAAGTCCAGTTTTTCAGACTAGTTTGATATCAAACTTAACATACGAGGTAATCTTGCATCGTAGATTAGGAACGATCAATATTCACCTCTCACTAGAATCCAGGATCCAAACCCGATGACAAAGGCCCAGTTGATAGAGTCTATAACATTAATAATAATCCAAGAAAACCAATGGTCGGGCCTTCTCCCTGAGTGTTGCTCATCTTCACTGCTGACACCGCCTTCTTCTATAGGCATCCCAGACCAATAAATCGGGCATAGACTCATGAATATCTAACCACTTTTCAACACAACCCGAATGAGACTCATGTTTACACGACATCTCCTGAATCTTGCCGCTGATACTCATCTCATCCAAACAAATTGGCAGTCCTCAACGTAATCTTTAGTCACTATTATTCTTGACATCTTGTTTATTGACTCTTTTAACGCTGATAATGTCTAGTTTGTCGGCCTCAATCGATAATTGGAAAAAGGTCACAAAATTGATCGGTGACTTAAAGATAGCGATTTGAGGATGGGTTGAGGCTTCTTGGTTCAGTAAGCAAAAATGATATGCCATCCACACCGAGCAAAATGATTTTTGAATATTAATTTTTATGGCTAGATTAGAGATTGATGGGTAGATTGTTTAAGAGATTTGGTTGTTTCTCAAAATATCTACAACACACCGACGCCTTAAAAGGTTTAACATATTAGTATCATACTTACGACGGACATGACACTCCGGACATGTGTTAAACACTTTAAAATATGTGTTTGACTATTTTATTTTAATTTTATTAATTTCAGACATTTCAAAGATACTCTAAGACACTTGTAAAAATTTTATAAAACTTTTAGATAAATTTAATAACAAAACAATTCAAATTGAGTCATAAATATAAATTAGATAAATATATATATATACTTAAAATAAAAAATTACGACATATATAAGAAGAAAAAACCTTAAATCATTATGTAGTGTTTATAATTTTATTGTCAAATTTAAAAATTAGATTTTTTTCATGGTAATTTTTGACTTTTATTAAGAAAAAACATATAATATTATATTGAATAAACAAATATGTAGAATATTGCAAGAGATTAATTCGACTATTTTGAAGGCGTTGGAATTTTTGAAACTGTCAATTTATCTTTAGATGGGTGAGATAGAAACGATAATATTTAACGATGATGTGGATTTATTAATGACGTTGAAGTAAAAAATTAAGTTTTTTTTATTTTATATTGAATAATTATTTATATATTTAATTTTTTAATAAATTAATATTCGCAAAGGATTAATTCGAAACGTGTTTTGAGGCGTGCTGGAATTTTTGAAACTGTCAATTTTATCTTTTAGTGTTATTGTGGATTTGAGATGAGAAATTCTTGGTATAATATTTGAGACGTGATGGGTGGATTTTTTAAATGACGTTGAAAGTAAAGAGGAAGTTATATGTGTTTTGTTTGGTACTTTTATATTGAATTAATACGTATTTTTTTATATATTTATATTTTTAACCTAGAACTATATATTTGAATATAATGACTTGTCCTAATCCATATTTCTTTATTTTTTTTGAATGGATTACAGTATTATGTGTACGTGTCCTATCGTCCATCCGAGTCCATGCAACCTAGCAAATAATTAAGGGTTAATTATTATTTCGTGGTGTCTATAATATCTTTTTTACAAATACATGACTTCTTCTCTCTCTCTATTTATAATCTAATTATTCTTGGAGTCCCTATGTTCTCCCATCTAAGTTTTTATCCTTTTCTCATTAAAAAAATAATTTACATTAAATAATATATCCTACATACCCTTTGAAATGTTCATACTACAGGTCCATCCCAATCAAAAGTTCATTACTTATACATAAAAATACCTAAATACCCTTGAAATGTCATACAAATGCCACCCAACAAAAGTCAACCACAGTAAAAATATTAACATAGAAACAAAAACAAATCCAAACTCATACTAAAACCCAAATAAAAATTATTTAAAATATAAATAAAAGGACTAAAGATTATTTAAAATGAAAAAAAAAATTTGCCTCCTCTCGCAGATCACCACCGCCAGCAACACCAAGAGCTTCAATCGCTGCACGCAAACAAAATTCGCCTTTCACCTGCCTCTGCTTCTTCGTCTCTATAATTTCATGAAGTTCTGGGTCTCCCAAAGGAAGTGGTTGGTTCCCCAGTCTCGAACCATGGCTCTTCGACACTCCATCCGTGGTTCAATAGCAGGGCGCTTGGACGGATTCGGCGATGATGAAGATGATGATTGGCCAAGTAATTTCATCTTTCTCTTTGCGTTAGATCCATTTCAGTGTTTTCTTTGGTGAGTACTGTAATCTCTCCTGTCCTGTTCTTCAACATCGATGCGGTTTCTGATTGTTCCTCGTAGAACCTACTGCGCAAGTGTACTTGCAGTATCCTCCGATTCGCCCGTATAGGCCAAGTTGCCAGAGCTCGAAGAATATTTGATGAAGAAGAATATTTGATGAATTGCCAAACAAAACCATTATTACTTAGAATGCAATTGTTGCTGGCTACTTCCAAAACAAGCAGCCTTATGAAGCCCAGAATTTGTTTGATAAAATGCCTGAAAGAAACACGGTTTCTTGGAATGGGTTGATTTCTGGGTATATTAAGAATGGGATGATTAATGAGGCAAGGAAAGTGTTTGATACTATGCCAGAGAGAAAAGTAATTTCGTGGACTACCATGGTCAGGGGTTACGTGCAAGAGCGAATGATAAAGGAAGCTGAATCACTCTTTTGGCCAATGCCCGAGAAGAATGTGGTTTTTTAATGGACTATGATGTTTAGTGGTATTTCCGCTTTTTCTTTTCTTTTTTTGCAAAATTATTCGGAAAAATTGTTACTTTTCTCGATGTAAAGATTAAAAATTCAGGATGGAGGCATGTCTTAGATTCTAAATAATTTGCATAAACAGCGAGACGAAGTTAGATATTTTGTAAACCAAGGACCTAAAAATAATTTTTCCATAATAAAATGAAAAGGTTAAAAGACCATTCCCGTAAAGCTCGCATCACATTGGCTCATTTGGACATTTTAAAATTTTTTTGTCCTCTGTCATCTGCCACGTGTGGAAAAAAGTAAGCCATACTATTGTATATTCAATTTCTAATTGCAAATTTTAAACTTCCATTGCCTCGATTGTTAAGCGTTTTTATTTATTCACTAAAGATATAATTATATCTATATTGAAATACAAATTTACAGGCCAGGTAAAACCAAGTTAAACTTTACTTGATTTTTCTTGAACGGTGTGATTGATAGCAAGCACCCTGAACTAAGTATTGCCGGGCCGACTCCTTCTGTTGTATTGGGCATCATCATTGAAACCGCAAGTCCCGCCGCCAATGAGTTGGTCAAAGTGAGTTTTTTTTACCTTTCTTTTCTTGTTAATATTTTGTGCCTGCCAAATTTTAAGAAAGAAAAAGGGATTTCTTAGAACAAGATTGCTACTTTTTCTTTGTTCGATTTTTTTTTTTTTAAAATTTTGGGTTTTAGAATTTCTTATGGAGAGCAGATGAGGTTGTCTGATTTGAATGGGGACTTTGTGTTAGCAACGGAATCAAGTGTTATTACTCGTAGACAGTACCATTTATTCTTTTATGTTGGGAGCGCGGTTTAAGTTTTTATGTTGTTTTTCACAATTAGCTGTTACTGGTTTTCCTTGATTGAGAGTGGAAAATCAGTCGCCTTCTTCTTTTAACTTTTATCCTAAAGATGCTTTGAGCTGTTCTTTTTTGTCTTTCCCTCGGTATTGATCAGATGGTGTACTGGGTGAAGATGATTATGGGTCAGTTTTCAAAGGGCGGATTGGTTGGTCAGTTTTATGGTTTCAATTTCTTATTTGTTTTTTCCAGCTATTCATGATAAATTTTTCTTTTCAATTCAGGGGCCTATTTATTCGGTTGAGGTCCTTAATTAGAGGGAGTTCATACTTCTCTCTCAAATAGGGGGAACTTGGCAATACAAGATATGTATGAAATGTGAATCCAGTTCTTCTCATGTACTTTAAATGCCTTGCTATCTTTACACCGATAGGATTGCTCAATCCATAGAAATAGCCATTGCCCATTAGGAATTTAGGATATCTAAAAAGTTCATAATATTTAGTATCAGTAAAATGATTATCTTTTAGATCCCTTTTCATGCCAGTGTGTTTAAATTTTAAAAGATTGAGATGATCTAAAAATAGTTGATTGTAGTGTTCTTTGGACATGAAGGCAGAGATCTACTTTCTTGGAAAATTGCAGCATCCTAATCTTGTTAAGTTGATTGGTTACTGCTTTGATGATGACCTTCGGCTTTTGGTTTGTGAGTTTATGTCTTGTGGCAGCTTGGAAAAGCATTTATTCAGGAGTGAGTTCCATGTTATCTTATTTGTATTAACTCGACTACTGCTTTTAGTTTATGCATAAACATGCTCAAACGTTATGCGAATCTTGATATAGGGGGGTCTGAGCTACTTTCTTGGGACATTCGCATGAAAGTTGCTCTTGGTGCTGCAAAGGGGCTTGCATTTCTTCATAGTGCTGATTTGAATGTCATTCATCGGAACTTTAAGACTTCTCATATACTGCTTGATTCAGTATGCTACATTACCTGATCACTTTTTTCACAATACAATATATTTGCACTTTTTTTTTTTCACAATATATTTGAATTTAGGACTAACAATTAGTTGAGTATATCTGCATTTGTTGACCTACCTGCTACATTTGCTCCATATTTGTAGAACTTCAATGCAAAGCTTTCTGGTTTTGCTTTAGCTAGGGATGGGCCAACTGATGATGAGAGTTACGTCAGTAGTCCTTTCAGGGGTACTACTGGATATGCTGCACCAGAGCGTCTAACCACAGGTATCATTTTCATTTGTGGCTTCTCGTAACTCTGATTGATATTAGCTTGCTTGATATGCTTCAATTTTCTGGTTCAATGTACTTATTTTTACCATTTTCTCTATGCACTACAAATGTCATGTTTGAGCAATTTATTCTTCACTTGTTTGAGCATTAGAAGTGTTAAACATATCCCTAATCCTAGGAAATATAATCTGAGACTGCGCAAGGCAAAGGGGTGTTAGAGAGGACGAGCACGAGTGAAAGCTTCCGTTGATGGAGAGATATTGTGAGTAAAAACTGCATATCATCGATTCTTTTGAGGCATTACCATTGAAATATTTGCAAGTGAATCCTTTTTTTTTATTTTATGAAGGTTAATGAAGGATCAAAATTTGTCTAAAATTCGCAGGTTATAGTGTAGAGGGTAAAGGATAGTCGGCCTTGTATCAAAACACTCACCATATTAGCAAAATTGCCCACCATTCCTTCACGTTAAAGTTTGTGAGGAGAACAATCAAGTCTAACCTGATCAGAGAAACTTTATTTTTAATAATATATTTGTGTTACTCAACCTCTAAGTCTCACAGCATAGTTCAAAATAGGGTTAATAATATATGTAGTTATTAAGTTTTTTTTTTTTTTTTTTTTTTTTTTTTTTTTTTTTTTTTTTTTTTATTGAATGGGCTAAATATGGAAAATTTTGGAAATTTAAGTACTCCTTTGTCTATAATACTTGTCACATCTTTGTTCTATAATACTTGTCACATTTGAATTTTCACGTTTCTTAATAAAATCATTAAATTTGTCTAAGTTACAATAAATTATTGAGTAAATTGACTGTATTATCTTTAATTTAATATTAATTTTCTAAAAAAATTATTAAATGGAAGTAATAATTATTGGTCATATACAAAAGGTAAACATGAAAAAAAAATATTTATTAGATCTTGAAATCACAAATGTGATAAAGTATTTATTATGGAATGGAGGTAGTATATGAATTAATAATTTTTGCACAATTAAGTGCATTTAGTTGGAATCTTATTGGAAAATCAAAATGAACTATTACCCTTCATTTTGCTTTATTTATTTTTTTTAGATTATCATATTCCTTCTTATTACTCTCTCTCTCTTATATTATTTTGAAATTGAAAGAAAACTGGAAGAAATTTTTTTGACTTTTTTAGAAAGAGATAGTAAAAAAAAAGAAAAAAAAAAAAAGATGGATTGAATGTTTATGATTGATATCATTTATTAAGTAATAAGATGGTTTATTTTAATTTTCCCATAAACTAATCCCACCAAATGCACTTGATTGCTACTTTTGAATAATTCAGACATTCAATTAGAAATTTTTTTCGTTCAGACATCAAAATAAAAAACATTAAAAAGTTTAAGGACGGCAAAGATAATTAACCCTTCACAATATTCTCTCCATACTAATACTAATTATGTGATTGTTAGACCAACTTATTGGGTTGTGGCAGTACTTTGCCTATGGTTTATGCAGTATAATACAACAATATTGTTGTATTGTATCATGGATTCTGGTCACTTATTAAATTTTGATGTTGAACAGGTCGTTTAAATGCAAAGTGCGATGTATACAGCTTTGGAGTTGTACTTTTTGGAGTGTACTTCTAGGAAATTTTCCGGCAGACGAGCCATAGGACAGTAATGTGTCACCTGAGCACGAAGACAATTAAAGTGGATTTGGGCAAAGCCTTACCTGACAAACAAACGCACAGTTTTTCCCGGAGTTTTAGGACACACTTCTTGGACAGCCCAACACTTCTTAAAGGCTCGAAAGGTTGTATATTCAATTTTAAATTGCCAAATTTTAAAACTGTACATGCCGCGCATTGCTAGCGTTTTTTCATTTATGCACTAAAGATATAATTATTATCTATTGGAACAGATTGCTCTTTTTCTTTTCGATTTTTTTTTTTTTTTTTAATTTTTTTGGGTTTTAGAATTTCTATGGAGAGGAGTTGAGGTGTCTGATTGAATGGGACTTTGTGTTAGCAACGGAATCAAGGGTTATACTCGTAGCACAGGTACCCATTTGTTCTTTTATGTTTTAGTGTTTAAGTTTTTATGTGTTTTCACAATTAGCTGTTACTGGTTTTCCTTGATTGAGATTGAAATCAGTCGCCTTCTTCTTAATTTTTACCCTAAAGATGCTTGAGCTGTTCTTTTTGTCTTTTCCTCGGTATTAGTCACTCTATACGTTTGCTGTTGCTATGGCTTTCACGAATACACTTGATGTTCTTGACAAGAAATTTAAATTTTTAGATGTATTGTTACTTTTTGTAAATTTCAAGATAAATTTCTATTTGTAAATTTCAAGATAAATTTCTAAGGTTTGTATTTCTATAGTTGATTATTTGATAATTTACCTTGGATTCAATCAGAATTTGTGAAAATTTGTCAGTCTTTGGTGATGATTTAGAGTATTGGTGTCCGAGGAAAAGTGTTGATATAATTTAAATTATGAAAATATTCTTTGAGATGATGTATCATATTGATATTCTGCTCTGCAGGACCTATTTGACAAAAATTGATTATTCTAGTGTGAGAGTTAGTAATTACGCAATGAGAAGGATAATATTTTTAGAGTTTCCTTTTAGACAATTTTTATTTCATTAATTAATTATTGTCTTGATAGAAATTGAATTCAAGGAAATTGTCTTGTAGAATTGAATTCAAGAAATGTCAGAAGAGATGGGAAGAATCTTGGTTTTGAGTTTGAGATATTGCGGTCACCAAATTTAAAGAACTTTAGCTTCAGTGAACTGCAGATTGCCACTAGAAACTTCCGATCAGATGGTGTACTGGGTGAAGGTACTTTTGGGCCAGTTTACAAAGGGTGGATTGATGGCATGGTGATTGCTGTGAAGAGGCTTAACCGTGAAAGCTTCCGTGGTTACGAGGAATGGATGGTCAGTTTTATGGTTTCAATTTCTTAATTGTTTCTTCCAGCTATTCATGATAAATTTTTCTTTTCAATTAGAGGGAGTTCACACTTCTCTCTCAATTAGGAGGAACTTGGCAATACAAGATATGTGTGAAATGTGAATCCAGTTCTTCTCATGTACTTTAAATGCCTTGCTATCTTTACACCGATAGGATTGCTCAATCCATAGAAATAGCCATTGCCCATTAGGAATTTAGGATATCTAAAAAGTTCATAGTATTTAGTATCAGTAAAATGATTATATTTCATCGGGACTTTAAAACTTCTTATATACTGCTTGATTCAGTATGTAATTTACCTACATTACCTGATCACTTTTTTCACAATATATTTGAATTTAGGACAAACAATTAGTTGAGTGTATCTGCATTTGTTGACCTGCCCTGCTACATTTGCTTCATATTTGTAGAACTACAACGCAAAGCTTTCTGGTTTTGCTTTAGCTAGGTTAGCTAGGATGGGCCAACTGATGATGAGAGTTTTACGTCACTACTTTACGGTCATGGGAAACTTAGAATTTGCTGCACCAGAGTATCTGGCCCACAGGTATCAGTTTCAAGTGGCTTCTCGTAACTCTGATTGATTATTGCTTAGCTTGTTGCTTCAATTTTCTGCGTCAATTTTCTTATTTTTACCATTTTCTCTATCTGCACTCCAAAGGTTATGTTGAGCATTTATTCTTCCACTCGTTTTGAGCATTAGAAGTGTTAAACATATCCCTAAATCCTACGGAAATATCATTGAGACTGCGCAAGGTTTAAAAAGGTGTTAGAGAGAACCGAGCATGAGTGGAAAAAGCTACCGTGATGGAAGAGATGATATTGTTGATGGAGAGATGATATTGCGAGTAAAAACTGCATATCATTGATTCTTTTGAGGCATTACCATTGAAACATTTGCAAGTGAATCCTTTTTTTTTTTAATTTTTATTTATGAAGGTTAATGAAGGGTCAAAATTTGTCTAAAATTTGCAGGTTATAGTGTAGAGGATAGAGGATAGTCGGCCTTGTATCAAAACTCTCACCGTATTAGCAAATTGCCACCATTCCTTCATCGTTAGTTTGTGAGGAGAACAATCAAGTCTAACCTGCTCAGAGAAACTTTATTTTAATAATGTATCTGTGTTACTCAACCTGTAAGTCTCATAGCGTAGTTCAAAATAGGGTATTATATATAATAATATATGTAGTTATTAATTTTTTTTTATTTTAATGGCTAAATAGGAAAATTTTGGAATTAAGTAATATCTTTGTTTCATAATACTTGTTACACTTGAAGTTTTACGTCCCTTAAAAAAATCATTAAATTTTTTTACGTCCCTTAAAAAAATCATTAAATTTTTCTAAGTTATAATAAATTATTAAGTAAATTGACTGTATTATCCTTAATTTAATATTAATTTTCTAAAAAAATTTTAAATTGAAGGAATAATTATTGGTCTTATACAAAATGTAAACATGGAGAAAAGTATTTATAACACCTTGAAATCACAAATGGAACAAATATTTTAGAAAAAATTATTTTTAAAATGTGATAAATATTATAGAATGGAGGTAGTATATGAATTAATAAGTTTTGCACGATTAAGTGCATTTAGTTGGAATCTCACTGGAAAATCAAAATGAATTATTACCCTACCATTTTGCTTTATTTATTTTTTTTTAGATTATTGTATTCCTTTTTCTTATTACTCTCTCTCTCTCTCTTATATTATTTTGAAATTGAAAGAAAACAAGAAGAAATTTTTTTGACTTGTTTAGAAAGAGATATAGAACAGTAAAAAAGGGAAAAAAAAAAAAAGAGACGGATTGGTTGTTTATGATTGATATCATTTAATAAGTAATAAGATGGTTTATTTTAATTTTCCGATAAACTAATCCGACCAAACGCACTTGATTGCTACTTTTGAATCATTCAGACATTCAATTAGAAATTTTATTCGTTCAAAATAAAAAACATTAAAAAGTTTAAGCACTGCAAATATAATTAGCCCTTCACAATATTCTCTCCGTGCGAATACTAATTATGTGGTTGTTAGACCAACTTATTGGGTTGTGGCTGTACTTTGGCTATGGTTTATGCAGTATAATACAACAATATTGTTGTATTGTATATGGATTCTGGTCACTTATTAAATTTTGATATTGAATGGATTCTGGTCACTTATTAAATTTTGATGTTGAACAGGTCGTTTAAATGCAAAGTGCGATGTATACAGCTTTGGAGTTGTACTTCTAGAAATTTTATCCGGCAGACGAGCCATAGACAGTAATGTGTCACCTGAGCACGAAGACATAGTGGAGTGGGCAAAGCCTTACCTGACAAACAAACGCACAGTTTTCCGAGTTTTAGACACACTTCTTGACAGCCAACACTTTCTTAAAAGGGCTCGAAAGTTGTATATTCAATTTTAATTGCAAATTTTAAACTGTACATGCCTCGATTGCTAGCGTTTTTCATTTATGCACTAAAGATATAATTATATCTATTGGAACAAGATTGCTCTTTTTCTTTGTTCGATTTTTTTTTTTTTTTTTAATTTTTGGGTTTTTGCTTGTAGTATTTATCACTTTGTTATTATTGGTTAATTATTAATGATGTTCTAGCAATAAATTTTCCTTTCAGTTGAGGCCAGTAAAATTTTGCTTACAGTATTCTGTTTATACAATTTACAGATTTTTGAGTTAACATACTGTTATTTAATAATTCATAAAACAAATTTTGAAAAATGTTGGTTTTCCGCATTTTTCCATTTATTCCTACAACTTCTTTGCAACTTTAGATAAAATGTTGGATTTAATTTTCTATTGTGGGCTAATTGTGGGCTTAATATGTAAAATTAAATATGTACAACAGTCCAATTGTAAAGTCAATTTCAAATGTGGTCTTGATTGTGAATAATTGACTATTGAGGTGTCAACTAATTATAGATATTAAGTGGAGAGACCATTATATAATTTCTATTTCGTTAAAGGACTGAAATAGGAATTGTACTAACCCTACAGGTATATAAAGGTCCTGGTCCCCAGAAGAGTTGAATACGATTCAGTTTTACGTTCCTTTCGTACTGCTTCCGCTAAATCGATTCTTCAATTCTCTGGAAGGCTGCAAACCTAAAATTCTAATACATCAAGATCGACGAAACAACCGATGTCAGGTACGCAAAAACCTTTTTCTTATTCAACTATTTTGTTGAAGCTAGTGGTTTGCACCGATCTAGGTTATATTGAAATTATTTGAGATTAATTTCATAACAAGTGGTTATCAGAGCCTTGTGCATGTAATTGCCTTAGATTTTAGATTTGGTCTTTTCGTATTTTTTTTTTATTTATTTTGTTTACCCTACTGTTATAGGATTGAGGGTTTTGTTTAATAAAAAAAAAAATGTATTATATATATTTATTGTTCTCACTGTTCTTCGGGATGTTCCCAAAGAACAGGTAAAGAGGTTTTGAACTAACGCCATTAAACTAACGCCTGCCATTCACCGTCCAATGGCTACTGGAGTTTGTCTTCGGTTGGAACTAGTGGTGTTGGCGGCCGAAAGGGGCTGGAACGGCAGGTGGAGAGAGTTGGCGGCGGACCTGGTTCTTTTTTTTTCTTTGGTTGGCGGCGGACCTGGTTCTTTTTTTTCTTTGTTTTGTCTCTGCTCGTTTTTGTGTCGAGGTTAGGGATGAAAAATTACGGTTAGGTCCCTGGAAAATTTTATATTAGTCCTTTAATTTTATGTAATTTCATATCAGTCCCTTAATTTTCTATAATTTCATATTGGTCCCTTAATTTTCTGTAACTTCAGATTAGGTCCCTAAATTTTCTGTAACTTCAGATTAGGTCCCTAAAGTTCCTGTAACTTCAGATTAGGCCCCTAATTTTTTTTTCGTCTAGACCCGTGGACATATATTTAATTATATTAGAACCCCGAACTTTATTTATTCAAATTTATTTAGTCCAATTTTATAACTTAGTCTCTAATTTAGTGACTTAAAGACTAGATTATAATTTTTTTTTATTTTTTAGGGCTAAATAATTTTAGATTATTAAATATTTAGACAATCAATTCCTTTAATTGCAATTGTTTTGCTTTAATTACAATTAAATGAATTAATTTGTCGACTTGAGATTAAATTTTGGAGTGATTAAGTCCCTATTGTGTTTAATATTTGTTAAAATAAATTGATTTGATCAATAAGTCACAAAGTGACCTCTATTGCTTGAATTGATTATTTTAGAATATTAGACAGGTTGTATTAGAATTCGGTTGCGGATAAGTTTAATCGCCCCAAAGGAAGGTTGCTATCTGGCTGAGTTTGAATACATGTGGCAATAAGGTATGTGATGCAATAAGTATGTGATAATTGTTTGATTATTTTCCATGACAATGATATATCGGTCCAAAGGAAGATTTATTATTTGTCAGGACTATGTTATCAATATTTGATTGCTGCGTTGAGATACTAATTACAAGTGAATATTTTACATCCAAAGATGAGAATTGAGAATATTAATGTTGTGTCTGTATCTTATTTCCATTTTTGATCTCTACTTATGTGAATTGTTTCATTTGTGAATTGTGAGCTTATACTTATCTATTCGTTTATTTTCTCTGCTGTCAGCTAACATGTCATTTAATCCTGATTGTGTCCCTAAACTTGAGGGATCAAATTTTGAGTCTTGGAAATCAGACATTATGATTTTTGTGGGCTGTATGGATTTGGATCTTGCATTGAGGATGGACGAACCTGCTCCTCTTACTGCTACGAGCACTGATGTTCAAAGGGTTCAGTATGAGAAGCGGGAGCGTTCTAATCGCTTAGGTCTGATGATCATGCAGAAAGGAGTACCAGAACATGTTCGAGACTCTGTCTCAGCTTGTTCGAGACTCTGTCTCAGCTGAAAAGAACAATGCTCAAAACTATCTTGCCGAGCTGGAGAGGGCTTATGTCAAGAATGACAAAGCCGAAGTGAGAACACTTTTAGGAAAATTAACCTCCATGAAGTTTGCTGGCAATGGTGGTGCTCGGGAGCATATTCTTAGCATGTCTCAGATTGCAAAGAGACTGAAGGTGCTGGGTATGGCTTTACCAGATGACCTTTTAGTCCATTTGGTTATGAATTCTCTTCCTTCTCAGTATGGACAAATTAGGACTTCCTATAATTGTCAGCCGAATAAAAATGGACTCTTAACGAGCTCATTTCTCATGTGAGTTCTACAAGATTAATTGCGCCAAGAATTTCAGAGTTGTTTTCAAGAGTACTTGAAGGTAAGTTTCTGATTCTTGTTCTAAATTCCTTGTTTTTGTCTCTTCAAGAGTACTTGGGGGTTAAAGGGATTGACGCGTACTTCCGTGATTGCATGCTTTCCGCTAGATTTCCTTGTTGATTTGCAAGAGTACTTGTTAATTAGCTAGGGTCGCATTACGGATCACTTGAGAAAGGACTGTCCTAAA